TTATGCAAAAACCGCGATAGAGTGAAGCCGCGGAAGTCGAAGCGCGAAGTGGCGAGGGTTCACTGTATTTGCTCTGAGAATCATAAAGAGCAGAATCACTTTCTGTTTGTTTCAAGCAGGCTTAACCATATCACTAATTTTTGAGGCCATAGGAGGTGAGTAGGCTTCCCTGGATCTTTTGTATTTGGGAAAAGACTGAAGAAATGGCATCATGCAACTTAGAAATATACCCAGGAATTGTGGATGGATGTGTCTGATCACTTAGCTCCATAGTGAAAATAGTGTAATTTTAAGATAAAATTTTGAAAACCTGTTATATATCAGATATAACATAGTCTCGGACCTAAGATTTGTCTTGTAGGAGGTCTTGATTTAGTAGGTAAAAGTCTTCTGTCTGAAATCTTAAGTATGGCTCAGAAAAGCAATTTTATTGCGACATAATACAAATATGATACAATCCAGTAGTTCAGTCATACCAAGAAGAGTTGTACAATTATCACCACAATTAATTTTAGAACATTTTCTTTTCTCTTGTAATCTTTGTTATTAGCCCCCCATATGTCCCCAATCCCCCTGTCATGCCCCCAAGGAACCATCATTCCATTTACTGTCTCCATAGACTCACACATCCTGGCTTTCATATACTGATAAATATGCAAACATTGAGAACCAAGGGTCAAAAAAGCTAATAACAAAATAGAGTAAAACTCTAGTTGAAAAGAAAACAAAATATTAAAAACTAGAACAATTTTAAAATGGATCTAAAGGGAGGTCAAATGATAAATTATTAGCCTCTAATCTAGCTATATCTGTCATAGTCCACTTTCCATTGCATTCTGCATGATCGCAAATTACTCACCTCCCTGGTCTGTGTTCAGAGGTGATTCATCAGAGGCTTCTTCCAGATGTATTTCCCCTTCTTCTTTTTTTTAACTGATAGAACTTTTAACCGAGTCAAAAGCAGGGGCAGGGTTGGGTGGAGTGGGGGGTCAGATTAGATGTTACATTGTGACCATTTAAATCAGATGATAATTTTCATCTCTGATTGCCTCTATAATCATTGTCTCTCTGCTCACCAGGTTATTCAGATCCTTCCACTGTGGTCAGAGGGAAATCAGTAGAGGCTTAATCTCTGTGTAGGGCTTGCAAATAGACTTTGGGCTTCCACTGTCATCCTCAGCCTTGTGAAAACCAGGAATTCACAATTTAAGCACTGATACCATTCCCTCCTTCGGATTTGGATTATATTTTATCCATTCCTTGGATCACACAGGCTGGCATATCTCTTCCATGTGGACTTTGTTGATACCTCACTTAGATCGCTGCTGCTTTGACGAAAAGCTTTTAAGACCCCAGATACTGTTCTTTCTGAGAGCCAGGCACCAACAAGTTTCTTCGCCACACTTTGCTGTAGCACCCTTATCTTCAGTGATCTCTTCATGAGGGCTCGTATCAAGCAGGGGGTATAGCCCAAATTTTAAGTATGACTTCATGATTTCATTATAGAGCTTTTGCAAAAAGGGGAAAATGTTAGTTTTCTGCCCTGGTAGAATCGATCTTTCAAAAGAGGATTGTATTTAAACTAGTGAGCATGATTTTCTCTTTGCATTTGCAGATATGGAAGCCCAAGAACTGTCACAAAAGAATACTTTGAATTTTCCCAATTCTTCTTGAAAACCTATGCAGTAGGAATTCAGCAGGTAATAAACAGGATTTTTAAATAGAAAAATGCTTACTATTGAAAGTGAATTCACTTCTATTTGCTTAAAAGTAGATTCCAAACATAATAAATTTGTAGGGGTGAAATGACATCTCTGGGAATCTTGTATCGAATAATCAAACTTCAGACCCCACACTTGAGAGCCACTACCACAAAACTGTCCTGGACTCCTAGACCCGAGCGAACCCTTTGAAGTTTGTTGATGCTGATGTGGCAGTCATCAGTAATAGGTTCTTCTGTGAATTCTTTCTGACCTCCCAAAGTTCTTAACCTCTTTTTTTGTTGGGTTTAACCCCTTTTGTGTTAAAAATGTATGAATTTAATTAGAAGATAATATGAATTGAATTATTTCAAGAGGATTGGGCTTAGATGTTAAGATTTTCAGCTAAGAATCTATACTGATTAACTGAAAGTTTGGAAACTCTTGAATATACTAAAAATGAGGAATTGTTGATTGGTATGTCCATTTGAGTCCTGATCTTTATGTGTTTAAGTGACAGAAATTATTGAGAATTGGCTGTGCTGGGAAATGCTTAATCAAGCATAATAAAAGACTAATGTCATACATACAGGTGGTTTCTAGATTTTTCATAAATCAACATATTAATATTCTTTGTTTTCAAAAGAATAAAGTTAAATAATTTGAACCGTACATCTTAAGGTGGAATGCGTGGACTGAATTCATGTTCTGAATTTATAAGTTCGGTGTACATTTTGAAAGAACCCTTTTAATATGTTCAGCCACTTTATTATAGCATGATATAATGAAGAACTTCAGAGACCAGGACTGAAAGACTTGGGTTTTGTGTGTAGTTATAGCACTCTCCCTGATGAAAGGTTGTTGAGCCAGTCATGAGCCAGTCACAGTCCTTTTGTGTTTTCTTAGAGTAAGTCTTTAAAACAATTGCATCTCAAGCTCTTCAACATCTGAGGTTATGAAATCTTCTCGTATTTGGGATGGGAACTCAGTGCTTTAGGGTTTTGGTTGTTTTTCCTGTTGGGTGTTTGGGCATGAGGTTTTAGTTAGGAAGTCAGCTTAATCTCTTTCAGAGGACTAATCAGTTGTCCTAGTACTGCTTTTTTAAATTGTTTTTTTCTTCTAATTTGAAGTGACACTTTTACTACATGTTAAATCGATTTATACTATCTTGCATGGAAACTTTCAATTTTCATTTAGTTAAATCTGATTTTTTTCATGTCTGCAGTCTAAATTATGACAAAATAACAATTTACAAATTATCAAGGATTCCTGAGGGAGGGGTTAGGGGGGAGGGAGGGGAAAATGAGGAGCTGATACCAAGGGCTCAAGTAGAAAGAAAATGTTTTGAGAATGATGATGACAACAAATGTACATATGTGCTTGACACAGTGCATGTATGTATGGATTGTGATAAGAATTGTACGAGCCACTAATAAAAAGATTTAAAAAAAACCCCAAACTGTCACCTTTTTAAAATCTTAAAATAGTTCATGTTCTTCCATATTTCCTTTTCCTGTTTTTTATTTAGGTACTACTGAAAATTTTAGACCAATATAGACAGAAGCAATATGTAGCTCCCCGTGTTCTTCAGCAGACATTCAACTATCTCAACCAGGGGGTTGTTCACTCTGTAACCTGGAAGCAGATGAAGCCGCACATACAGGTCTGTGTTTGGACAGCTCGCAAATCTTTTTCTCCTTGAATTTGTTTTCTAGATTTTATACCTAATACCTTTATTCTACTAATAGTTTCAAATGAGTGCTCTAATGTGTTCTGCGGCTGTGAAGACATGGGGTGTCAGTGTCTGAAGAAGGAGGCTTCATATTTCATACATTAGAAAGCTTAGATTCACTGGGTCTTGCTTGGAATCCACTTATTCTTGGTTCCCCCTTTCTGTTCTTTTTATCTGAACGTTGTTGAGATCAAATAA